TTTGGCAGTACACTTCTGTTTAGAATTCTTTTAATCTATCCATTCCCTGCTTTTATATTCATCTGGTAGTTGAAGGTTCTGTGAAGGATATTTCTTTGTATATGAACTTATTAAGCCAATAACACTCAAAAGTGTGAGATTCGCTTCCCTTTTTTTCCTTTTTTTATATTGTAAGATAGGCTCTTGTTTGAGTAGTTAAATTTCTATTTGCCTTTCTTACATTTTTTGCAGGGGAGGGTGGAGAAAATAAGAAACAATTTATATGGTAGATCTAAAGTTTCATTAAAATTGCTTATGCCCTGTCCCAGGCATTTTAAGTGGGCCATCTGTCTAAACATCTCTCCATTTTTTTCTGATCATTTCCTCGACTTATTCATGAACCATGGGAGGGCTCCTTTGTAGTCTCCATGTAGCTGGTTCAGTCTACCCCCACTGAATACATCTATGTGCTTGCATAACATATCTTTTCACAGTGCTGGAAAATCTCTGAACTTGGTTCAGATGAATGGCCCACTTTCTGAAGGTCTTTTTTTCTCCCCCTGCAAAGATTTGTATGCAGAAACTGACCTTGGTGGCTACAGAATCCAGCACATTATTCTTGATCATTTTACAGGCCACCTGCTGTGAAAGTTATGATGAAGGATTTCTTAATGATTCTTTGACCATTAACATTGTTTTAAGTCAATATTTCACTTTTATTTAACTGCTGAATAGGTAATTGCACAATTGAAAAACAGCTTTATGGAGTGTCCTATAATGTGGTTTTCAAATGCTTGTAATCTTTCATAACAGGAGATTTTGTTATGATAGTTTGGGATTTCTCTGTGTTTACGTAAAGTATTATGCAGTAAAAATATCAGAAGTAAAGAGAATTTGTAAGTTTTTTTCCCCCAGTGTTAGAACTCACATTTTGAATTGGAAGTAAAAAAAAAAAATCTATACTCAATTTTCTGACCCTTTAGGAGCTGGTGACATTTATCATAGCTCATTACATCATCAACAGTAGTCGGGAGAGGGGATTTTATTTGCCACAAACTGCAGAAAATTGTAGTTTTATTGAGTTCCTTCTATCTGATTGGTTGATGACAATCAAAATGGATGGGCCGGGGCAGAGTTATTACTTGACTTGCTGTTGTGAATGTCTGTTTTCTTTCATTATTTGTTTTTGACTAGAATAGATAATAGTTTAACTAGTGTCTGTTTTCCATGAGCACAGTAAGTGTGTGTCGATCTAAAATTTTTAGCAGTTGTCTGCTCTCTTCTCTGAAAACTTGCGAAGAAAGCAGGAGCTGTAATTGCTGCATTATCATAAAGTATCTCCCTCTGTCTCGCTCTCTTGGCAGTTGGGGGTAAAAGGAACATAATTATGGGACCATGACATCATCTGTAGTTGAACAAACAGCAACAGAGGTTGAAAATAACTAACTAACTAAGCAGGCAAACACTGCTGTTTTTCTTCTTGCACTGTTTACATGTTCTTATAACTTCAGTGCTTTAAGAGTGATGCCTTTATGACTTGGAGCCGGGCGATCGCCGTACTCTTCGTCTCTGCCCCTGTTGCTGCTGGTACTTGCCTTTAGAAGGCAATATGGAGTAGAGAGTTTCAGAACTGCTCATTTCTGCATGGAGGGAGTTCGTAACACCCGCCTCCACCTGCCTCCTGTCGTTGTGGCTGCGGTGCAGGCTTTGCTCTCTCTTTCTTTTTGTGTGTAGTGCTCCTGGCAAGGGACAGCAGCACACAGCTCTCTGTGGCCCTGCTTCCCATTCACCCGGCACTCATCTTGCATTTCTTCCTGCAGGCAGTGATCTTTATATGTAAAGAAAGTAATTTTTTTTGATGATAAACTTCATTTGCCAAAAGTGGGAAAAGAGAGGGCGTGTTGAACCCTATGAAAGACATACTGTGTAGATTCAGAATCCAGGGTTGGAGGAGAAGCGCCTTAGGCTTTTTTTTTTGTCTTTTATGATGGTAAAAATGACATTACTTTTTTCTTTCATTATTTTTTTCCGTAGATAGAATACATCATATTTCAGCCCAGTATATAGAATTTTAAAAGTTATACATTTTGAAAATATCCAGAAGTTTGGGGAATTTTCCATGAACTAGCAGAAAATATATTCAGAAGTCCAGATGTTTTCCCTTTGGAGGACTTGGAAGAGTTCTCAGCGAGGGAAGCAACCTTGGCTAAGAACAAAGAGATTATTTCCCATGCACTGGGACTTCTCAGACATCTAAAAAAACCCACCCCCAAAACAAATCAAGAAAAAAAACCCACGAAAAAGCCCCTTTCTTAGTCTGATAGAAACTTTTGCATTTCTGAAGAAGTTTACAGACTTGAGGAGCTTCCTTTCCATATCCAAGAAACTTGGATTTTGGTCCTTAGTTTTGGATTTTATGATCCTCACTAATGTAAAAAAAAAAACCCTCTGGATGCAATCAAAATGGAGTCTACTACAAGGTAACTTATTTGAAAGGAATTTGATTTAATGGAGACAAAGTAGGATTATTGTGAGTTAGTGTAAGTATCTGTCTTAGCCAGTGTAACTGTAGGTTACAGTTACAAAGCCATAGGTGCTTGATTAGCAAAGCTGCGAAATGTCCCTGTGCAAACGGATCTAGCAAATTCGAGGAGGGAAGTACAACTTGCTGTTGTGCTTGGTATTAGATGCAGCTCTGGACCTTGCCCTCCTGACCACCAGTGTTGCAGAGAGAGGAATTACATGCCTGTGTGGCTGTTTGAAACCCAGGCAAAGCAGTGATCATAGTCATGCCTTTCAAGAGGCATGCATCCTGTTTGGAGATACACTTGACAAAGCTCAGCAAGACAGGACTGAACAAAAATAATCCCTGCTGGAGAACAAGACTGTCTTTCCTTTGATGGCCAGCAGCCAGCTTCATGAGGTCACTTCCAGTCAAATGCAATATGAAGCAGGGCCGTGCCAGCAAGGTTATAAGGAATCTCATGCCACCAGTGAAGCAGATCTACTAAGCTGTGTTTGAGATGAGGTCTTACCTCTTATATAAGAAATATGAAATTGCTATAAGCAACTAAATCCCGTTGGTTGTTGCAGTGGAGTACCATTTAGCCAGGCTCTGCCAAAACCCTGCTACATTCCTCCTTGCTGGTGCTCTGACACCAGGAAGTGCAATGAAAACATCTCTCAGCTTGCTGCCTGCTACCTGTGCAGGAAATTCCTGTTCCTTTTCTCCAGGAAGTCCCGTGTCTGTTGCGTTTCCTATCAGTCAGTCTCAGTATTTCAGTGACATACAGGAATTTCAAGATGAGATGCTGAGAAATGTCATTGCACCCAGTAAGCCACAGATCATTCCTTAGATTTGTGGTTTTGACAATTGTTGCTGTGTATTAAATGTAAAAGGTAACACTTGGCATCATTAGTATGGGAACATGTTATTTTCAATATCTATTTTCATGAACTTTGTGGGAATTGATAGTTTGAGGTGAGCTAAGATGTTTGGTGAAATCTGGTGTAGACCGTACTTGGCTTAGATCCAGAAATAACTAATGATAAATATGCATCTATTTGTCTAGCTAATATATTTAGTTTTTTCATTTCTCCTTTTCAGGCATGTTGCAAGGCACAGTTTTTGGAAACTCCTTGCCTAATTAAGGACACGAACTTGTACTTGCTTAGATTTCAGGTGTCTTAAAAACTCAACCTTCTTAAAATGACTGAAATCTTTAGCAAGTCAGTGTGTTATGCTTGGCTTAGGCAGATAATTTCTCCTCCTGTGGTCTCTGGAGACCTCACAGGTGCTTCTTTCTGTTGATTCCACAGGGAATCTGAGCCACTCCCTTTGGGGAGATGTGGTTCACTGGACACATGAATCTTCAGGAGGATGCATGTGGCGTAACACAGAAGGACGTGCTTCCAAGTTTTAAGACTCTGAAGGCTGTATTAAAATGGTGTAGTAAGCTCTATAATGTACAATAGATGAACATTATAGCAGAAATTATCCTTAAGAGACCTAAAGATGATAAATGTATTATCTCTATAGATTTCTTACAGAGAATCTAAGTGTGTAAGAGTCAGGGTGTAAGAAAAGCTATATCAAAATAATGTGTCTTTACTTTAATGGAGTTTAAACTCCACCTTCCTACATTCTCTTTAGGCTACATGGTACTTGCTGATGCTGATATATGTCAACAACTCATCAGAAAAGTTGTAGCGTACCTTTAGGCACCAGTTGTTACAACAAAGTGGAAGAGACTTGAGAAGTTAGGATGAGGAAACTGAATATACATTTAAATAAAATGGCTGAAAATTACTTGTTTTCCTCTGAACTTCCAAGAATGGAGACTCAGGTCTCATTCCTTTCCTGTCAGGTGTGCTTCTTTAAGCTGAAGTTGAAAAGATTCAGGTTTCTTGTACTAGCTGATAACTGGTGCAGCCACTGAATGCTGCAGGAAAAGGTATAATCCTGCATGTGTACTGTGATGATATATCACTTTTTCAGTTTGCTTGAAGGGCTCTGTGGATGAGAGACTCTAAAATGTATATTAATTATAAAATTACTTGTATTACTTGTTTGGCTGAATCTTTTGTCCATAATTGGCCTTTATTTAAGGTTTATTGAGAATGAGATGAAAGAAATAGTGATTATATTTTGCACTTAAAAAGAATGCTCCAGCTATCACTGTTGCTATTCTCCTGCCAATCCACTTTCTCATTTGCTTTTCATCCTGTTTGAGCTAATTCTGCAGCAAGTGCTGGCTGTATTCAAGAGCTTCCTACAACTTTATCAGCGTACCCAGTGTGTCAAGGCAAATCTAGAAAGAAAGTAGAGTGTATTTTCTCCTTATATGCCATTTGACGGAAAAGTGTATTTGGTTTTTTTTTCAAGTGTGCTCTCCAACTGTGTCTATAGATTAATGATATTTTATAGCCTTCATGACCGTCCTATGAGGCAAATGCTTCTGCTTAAAATGGGAGAAGCATGAAATCTCTGTTAAAAATTCTTCTGTCTGTTTCTTTCTTAGAATTCCTATTGCTAAATCAAAGAGAAGTAGCTGGGAGCTCTCTGTGCGTCTAGGAGATGGAATTTACCCAGTTGCAGTTTCAAAGGATGGCTCATCATTTTCTGTAAGTTCTGCTCATTTTCTAAGAAATTTGATGTTTTGAGTCGATGTATATTATCCTTAATACCTACTAAAATCTCCATCTGTTCAGTGACCAAACATAGATGTTTGCTTTGTCTTTAGTAGGCATTGCTGTGAATTATAAAACATGACTCTGTTAATTAAGTAGTGCTAGTGTACGAAGATTTTTCTCTGCTCATGCCTGTGGAACACTTTTGTATTTACTTGCTTATTAAATTAGTTTTCTAATTAACAACTCTGTTTAGTGTCTTGTTTAGAAATAAGGTCTTATTCTCCGTTTTAGAGATATGACAGCAAGAAAATAAGTACAATGTCAATAAAAATTACATTAGCTTAAGTTAGTAATTAAAAAAACAAATAAATCAAGCAAGTTGAATGCATAATCATACTAGAATGGAATTATTCAGCACCTCAGTAGTAAAACTGTTTGTGATTGTAGTAAAATGGCAGTGTTTAAAATATGTCTAAGTCACTTCAGATGAATGTGTATAAACTATTGTTTTTATAAATATTTTAAGATAATTACTTATGCACTTAACGTTGTCAGCATGAAGGGCAAAAAGACTGACCCTAACAGTAGAAGAATGGTAATGCTGTGTTGAGTAGTTCAGCTGTTCATCAGAATAAAGCCAGTGTTGCAAGCTGGTTGAATTGAAGTATTGAGAAGGTAGACTCAGAGAGAACTACTTTTTAAGTCTGTTAATGGTAATTCCATGACCAAACTGAGATTTTTTTCTTTTTTTTGGTTTGTTTTAAAATAGACAGTTGACTTGCATAGTATCTGTTGACTCTTAGGCAGAAGTTTTCAAAGGGGTCTAAAGAAGTCATTTTTTCTTAGAATCATTGAAAAGCAGGACTGTGAGGAATCCTAGAAGTCCTCTAGTATACCTCTGACAGCTGCTTACTCTTCTTGCCTGTCTTCATTGAGGTAACTTCTGCAACATCTACTCCGTGACATTTTTTTATAGTCATGATGTTCACATTTCTGTTGCATTCAGAATCATGAGGTATTTCTTTGAAAAAAGGACATTTAAGTTACTATTTCATGTAATGAAGACAGTATTGTCTCAGTGATTCACTTTTGCTTTGCTCTGAAATTTCAATGTGGAAGATAGTTTTCAGTTTAAACCTCATCATCTTTTTAGGTTTTTTTCAGTTGTGTGAATTGAGGTGATGAAAACCTTGCTGCTTTTTAAAATCCTTTTTGTTGGCCTAACTGGGGCAAGAAGATGCCTAGCCAATATCCTTTTTAATACTACCTTTATCTCCTTGACACTGTATTTTACATGTACTCATGATGAATCTGAGAGTATGAATAGAGAGCAGGGTTATTTTGTGTTCCATGTGGATCATAGATGCACTGTGAAAATGATATGGAGATCAGTCATTCTGGTCAGCACTATTAAAAATTGTCTCTTGCAAATGTACTACTTCAAGTGTGAAATAAGGTGGTCATTTTAGTTGTAGTGTTTCTTTTATAAAGGATTCCAGGAGGTCTTGAACAGCTGTTTACTCAGTAACTAATATATAGTGTTGCTCCATGGCACTGACACTCAACCTACTTGTAGAATGGTGCTTCAGGAGTGAAGACCATGTTTGTATGAAGCTTTTTACTGAATTAAATTTATATGATGCCCCTGAGTTGGATACAACCCATTGCTCAAACAGCAAAACATCTGTGCCAGGTTTCAGCTCAAATTTAGAGTTGGACTGGCACTGGTTTGTGATAACCCCTCCCAGGAGTCGTCATTGCCCCCAGCCTTTCCACCTTTTCGTCGCAACGTTACTGTCTAACAGCGGTCAGCCTGGAGCTGCCTGCTGCTGTGAGGAGCATACAGGGAGGCTGCTGTGTAAGGCCCTTTCTGCTGTGAGCTCAGTAATCTAATTCCCAGAGCTGGACCTCCCCAAACCAGGAGTTTTGTTTAGCACAATGAATTACACAGGCATGCATCTGTGTGCGTATGTGCACACGTATTTTCTTGAGATTTACTTCAGATTCTTTTAGTTACCTGGGTTCTTGCTTATATTTGCTCAGGTAATTCAGTACAGATACATCTTTAAATCAGACTGAGGAAAGCTGACAGACAGAGGAGGCCTAAGCATCCTTTTATGCTTTTGTCTCTATCGATCGTGAAGGTAACTGAACATACAAGCTTGCATATGAGTCGGTCCTAGATTCCTCTTGCAGCTGAGTTGTAAACAGCACTGTGTTTCTCCAGGAGGTACAAACTCTGAGAAAGGATGCTGAGCAAGTAATGCTATTGCTGCTGTTTTATCACTTTAACATACAGAAGATAATTCTGACCTATACTACAGCCCAAACCTGTGTCTCGGTTTGAATAGGACTGCTGAAAGGTTCTGAGGTCTTGCAGCAGTATGAGCATTACAGCTAGTATAAGCCTAGCTTAAGGCGTTCATGGAGTCTGATTGTTAGTCCTTCAGTTTGTTATTCAAACAATAACAAATATGGAGCTGCCTGATTGTGTCCTTGCACCCCTGCAGTAAGCTGCTGCTGTTACCCTCCACTGGTAGGTACGGAGGCAGGGGCACCCCTGGGGAGCTGAGCACCCACCAGTGTCACAGGTGAACGGATGCATAAGCAATAGGGAGGAAGTAGCGGTGCCAAGTAGGACAGGCTGTGTGTCCTGAAGGTTGGGCTAGAGGGATTGGCAACAGAAGCTTTTGCATTCTGATTCTACCCTAACCAAGCCTCTGTTCTTGGGGAGAGAATTCTTTATTCATTTGTATATGGAAAATTCCTTAGCCAGTGAAATAAATCAGAGTAGGTATATTTTGCTGTGACCAGAGGTCTATCTCACTTAAATCTTAAGGTATAGTGTGTTAAAATCGGCTCCTGAGCTTGGGTTTGTAAAAAGCAGGTAACTGTTTTTGAGTACCAGGGTTGTTTAGGGTTACACTGAGTTTTAATTGTTACTGGATAAATAGCAGAGGATATGTTATTCTTTATTAATAATTTTCGGTTTTGCTGGGGTTCCCCTGTTACTGTGCTGCAGATGAGAGAATATAGTAAATACAGCAGAGTCAAAAATCTGAATTATTATTTGAAGCTTTACAATGGAAAACCAATGGCCTTAAAACTTCTAAGAAAACTCAAAGACTAGGAACGAGAAATCTTGTTTCTGATCATGAGGTATACCATCAGAAAAAAAAAAGGGTAAATTCAAAGTTTTCTGTATTAGCTTTGCTGTCAGAATCACAAGCCTCACTTTTTGAACTTCTGCATTTACTTTTTGCTATTAGAGTTGGTGTGACATGGGCTCCTGACTTTGTGGGTTGTGTCCCCTTGTGGCTTGTGACAAAAGATAGTGGTGCAGTTAGATAGCCCAGTGGGAGGGCCACCTTCACATTCCCCTTCAGAAGTTTACTCCCGCTGCAAACTGTGCATTGCAGCAGCAATGTTCACATCCTGATTTACTTTGTTTACCACTGGGATTCTTCCAACAGTGACTCCTTTCTTTTTTCCTTAACTCTTTTGCTCTTGCCAGCTGAAATCTCACCACCTCTCAGTGTGCAGGGCTTTGCTCTCTGTGCAGGGAGCGCAAGCAGCAGGCTTCTCTGTGGTTCCCACTGTTTGAGAGCAGATCATTCATCAGCATCTCGGTCTATGGGTCATCTGTGGTTTTCTTCCTTTATCATGAGAATCTTAATGAATTGTGCAGTGTTAACTGCTCTTTGCTGCTTTTAATTTTTCAGGGTTTTGAGTTTTGTTAACCATCTGTTTTAACCACTTTATTTGTAACAGAGGTCCTTGATGCAAGCTGACTTTAGAGTCCTTAGTTCCCGAAACTGAAGCACTTAAAAACAAGTGGTCAAGTGTGAGCAATGCTGTTTGCCTGAAGCAGTGCAAACAAAACCAGTAGTTTTTGTCTTTCCACTAGAGGTTACAAACTTTTGTGAATCCTAATTTGATATTTTTTTCTTTTAAAGTAGAAGCAGCTCTGCTGTTATTCTGAAGCCAGCAACATATATGCTTAGGTTTGTATAAAATTAATGTAGTGGATTTTCAGTATTAGACAGTTGTTTCTGGTGGTACCCTATCAACATAATAACAAATGCTTTCTCCATTAAAAGATTCTAATGCCCTGACTTGAGAATTAAAGTTTAGCAGCTTTGGTGAGATCTGCTTGCTTGTGAACCAAGAACTTGCCAACTAAATTCATGTAAACGTAATTTGTTCTTTGTCCTATATATTAATTGCTAGAAGAATCTTTAAGCTAACTGCTTGTCATATATATCCATTTAGTTCTTTGGAGGACAGATGGTTAGATTCTGGGCTTTGATTAATATTATTCTTCTCTCATCAGTGGAGTTCAAGGTCTTACAATCAAGATTACTGCTAAACTAGAATTTGAAGGAGAGACACCCTCCTTTACATGAGACTAATGTAAAACAGCAACAAACATCCCGGAAGCATTCTACCACCAAACTCTGGAATCTTTTGTTTAGTTAAATTTCAGACAGGTGGATCTCTTTCATTTTGCCATTTTTGATTGACAGTCTGGCTGTGAAATGTGTTTATGATTTCATTGATACAAAGACTTGATCTAATTTTGATCACAAAGGTTGGAGTCTGTTCTTTCTCTACGAAGCTTGAGCATTCTGCAGAGTGCTAAAAGGTGGGAGAGAAAAGCAAATGGGAATCTACCTGTATTGAGCAAACCTGGTAGCAGTGTGGTTTCCCTGCACCGTATTAAACTGACCCTTCAAAGCCAGATGTCAGCCTCCAAGGATGCTCTGTATCCATGTGATGGTGGCTTTGTAGCTTATTCACAGACTTCCACTCCTGGCTGCTTAAGCCAGTGTGAATGAAGTCCCTTTGCTAATGGTGTGCTGGATGGGAGCTGCCCTTTAGCCACCCGTGCAGGACTTTGGTGTCACGGACAGCCATGAACCAAGCTTCTCCAATGTGGATGGATTTCATCTAGGTAATACACCTATATACTTCGCTATTATTTTTATTAT